ACTGGTGAGGCTGCTGCTCTGGGTGTTAGTGCGTCTCCTGCTCTAGGTACTGGTGAGGCTGCTGCTCTAGGTGCTAGTGCGTCTCCTGCTCTAGGTGCTGGTGAGGCTGCTGTCCAGGTACTGGTGAGTCTGCTCTCTCTGGTACTGCGCCTACTGAGGCCTTGTACACCTTCACACTTGACTCAGGTGCTTCCCGCTCCTTCTTTAGCGACAGCACCACCCTCACGCCGCTCAGTCGGCCGATTGCAGTCTCCCTGGCAGACCCCTCTGGGGGTCCAGTCCTTGCGCACTCCTCCACGGTCCTGCCGTGTCCGGCGGTCCCGTCTGGCTCCCTGTCAGGTCTTCACCTCCCCTCGTTCTCTACGAACTTGGTGAGTGGTGCTGACCTCCAGGACTAGGAGGTTGACCAGTTCACTCCTGGAGGTCAGCGCGTGACCCACTGTACGTGCTCCCGGACGGGCCGGCACCTGGCCACGTTTACCCGTGCGCCTGGCTCGAGTCTGTACACACTGACTACTGTGTCCCCTCAGGTCGCTGCGTCCGCGTCTGCGTCAGGTCAGCTAGCACCCCCCTGCTCGTGTCGCGCTTTGTCGCACCAGACCCTCCTTTGGCACCACCGTCTTGGTCACCCCTCGGTGCAGCGCCTTCGTAGCATGCACCGCCGTGTCCTTGTCTCTGGTCTTCCCAGGGTTCTCCCTCCCCTCCCTCCCTCGCCTGCTCCTCCCTGTCTTCCCTGTGTCGAGGGGCGGCAGCGCGCCGCTCCTCACTCCTCCTCGTTTCCCCCGACGACTACTCCCCTGCAGACCCTGCACATGGACGTGTGGGGCCCAGCCCGCGTCAGTGGGCAGGACCGCGAGCGGTACTTCCTGCTGGTTGTTGACGACTACTCGCGTTACACCACGGTCTTCCCCTTGCGCACCAAGGGTGAGGTCCCAGATGTTTTGATCCCTTGGATCGGCGGTGCCCGTCTCCAGCTTCGCGAGCGGTTCGGGACGGAGTTTCCCGTCCTGCGTCTGCACTCTGACAGAGGTGGGGAGTTTTCCTCCGACCTCCTGCAGAGCTTTTGTCGTGGGGAGGGCATTCGCCAGACGTTCACGCTTCGGGCCTCTCCGCAGCAGAATAGGGTTGCTGAGCGCCGCATTGGCTTGGTCATGGAGGTCGCTCGTACCTCCATGGTCCATGCGGCTGCCCCCCATTTTCTGTGGCCGTTTGCGGTCCGCTACGCCGCGCATCAGCTCAACCTCTGGCCCCGTGTGTCCTTGCCGGAGACCTCGCCCACACTGCGGTGGACGAGGGAGGTTGGCGATGCGTCGGTGTTCCGGGTCTGGGGTTCTCGTGCCTTTGTCCGCGATACCACCGCGGACAAGCTCTCCGCCCGCGCTGTTCCCTGTGTCTTCCTTGGTTTTGTCCCGGACGCACCTGGTTCGCAGTTTTACCACCCCACCTCGCGCCGTGTCTTCCCCTCTCAGGACGTCACGTTCGACGAGTCGGTTCCCTTTTACCGTCTCTTCCTTTACCGCACTGCCCCTCTCCCCCCCCCCGCCACTCTTCCTCGCACCAGGTGCTCCCTAGGTAGCCCCCCTCCCCGCTCCCGGTCCTGCTCCTTCAGGTGTGTTTCAGGTAGACCCTCCTCCCTTGACTGCGCCGGTTGAGGTCACTGGTGACTCAGGTCCTGCTGAGGGTGGTCCTGCTCGGGGTGCTGCTTCAGGGGGTGCTGAGCCTGGGGGTGCGGAGCCTGGGGGTGCTGGTCCTGAGGGTGCGGAGCCTGGAGGTGCTGAGCCTGGGCGTGAGGAGTCTGGGGGTGCTGAGCCTGGGGGTGCTGAGTGTGGGGGTGCTGCACCTGGGGGCGCTGCGGCGTTTGGTGAGCAGTCTCCCTGGAGCGGCCGTCTCCGTAGTCGCTCTGCTGGTGCCTCGCCGCTGCACTCTCGTCGTCGTCTTCCTCTCTCCCCACAGCAGCTGCGTGAGTGGTACATTGGCCGTCAGGGTCGAGCTGCTGGAGCTGGGGGCCCTACTGCGGGAGGCGCTGGTGTTGGAGGCACTGGAGCCGGCACTGTCCCTCTCTCCTCACATCAGCTGCGTGAGTGGTACGTTAGCCGTCAGGGTCGCGCTGCTGGAGCTAGGGGCCCTGCTGCAGGAGGCGCTGGAGCTGGTGACTCTGCTACTGGAGTTGTTTCTGCTGGAGGTCCTGCTGGACCTAGAGGTGCTGCTGTTGATTCTGAGGTTGGAGGCCCTGGAGATGGGGGTGCCGGTTCTGGGGGTGCTACTGCTGGTGGCGCTGGAGCTGGAGGTTCTGGAGCTGCTGCGGGTGCTGGCGCTGGAGGTTCTGGAGCTGTTGGAGGTGCTGGCGCTGGTGGCGCCGGAGCTGGAGGTTCTGGAGCTGCTGCGGGTGCTGGCACTGGAGGTTCTGGAGCTGTTGGAGGTGCTGGTGCTGGTGGCGCCGGAGCTGGAGGTTCTGGAGCTGCTGCGGGTGCTGGCGCTGGAGGTTTTGGAGCTGCAGGAGGTGCTGGAGCTACTGGTGCTGGTGGCGCTGCGCCGCCGCGACTGTTCCTCGCTCCGCCGTCACCTTCGTCTCTGCCACCGCCTGGCTCCATGCTTCGCCAGGTTCTTAGCCTCCCGTCTTCTACTGGTCTTCCGTTACAGCCTGGCTCACCACTGCCTGCTCCTTCTCCTTACACTGAGCTGACAGGCGGTCTTGCTGAGTGTCGTGAGCTTGCGTCTTGTCCTGTCTCGCCCGTTCGCACTGTCCGCACTGGTCGTGCTGGTCGTCGTGTTCCTCGTGAGCGTCCGCCGGCTGTCCCCGGCACACACCTCATGGCTTTGCGTCCTTCCTCTGCTCCGCAGCGTGTTCCCCTGCCGTCCCCGCCTGCGTCTTCTCTGCCTGACATTCCAGAGCCTGAGTCTGACCGCGCTCATGCTGCTCACCCTACTGTCACGCGTCTGCTAGCCACTGCTGTCACTAACCCGTCGTTTGAGTCTGCTGCTGCGTCTGCCTAAGTCGCTGAGCTTGTTGACTTTGCTGCTGCCTGTCGTCTAGACTACGCCGCTAGTCTTGTTGCTGAGTCTGTCTGTCCTCCGTCCGTCGGGGGTGAGTGTGCTCTTGGCACGGACGTCCTTGAGGACAGGCAGGAGGACCTTGAGTGTCTTGCAGCCGCTGCGCCTCATCTCGTGTCCATGCTGCTTGCCCCTGAGGGAGACCCGGATGCTCCAGACATCCCGACCCCGTGCTCTTACGCTGAGGCAATCGCGGGTGAGTACTCCTCTCAGTGGCAGACAGCCATGGATGCGGAGATGGCATCATGGAAGTCCACAGGCACTTACGTTGACGAGGTTCCCCCTCATGGGGCGAACATCGTCGATGGCATGTGGATTTTCAGGGTGAAGCGGCCTCCAGGTTCTCTGCCTGTCTTCAAGGCTCGTTACGTTGCTCGAGGTTTCAGTCAGCGAGAGGGAGTTGACTTCTTCCAGACCTTCTCTCCCACCCCGAAGATGACCACTCTTCGGGTGCTGCTACACGTTGCCGCTCAACGTGACTACGAGCTTCACTCTCTTGACTTCAGCACAGCTTTCTTATAGGGCAGCCTGCACGAGGAGATCTAGCTGCGCCGCCCTCCTGGCTTCACTGGGTCGTTCCCTCCTGGTACCCAGTGGAGCCTCCGGCGGCCGGTCTACGGTCTCCGCCAGGCGCCACGTGAGTGGCACGACACACTAAGGACGACACTTTCTGCTCTTGGGTTTGCTCCGTCGACTGCTGACCCGTCGCTGTTTCTGCGCACCGACACTTCCCTGCCGCCGTTCTACATCCTCGTGTACGTCGACAACTTGATCTTTGCCACTGCTGACACTGAGGCTCTCGCCCTGGTGAAGTCGGAGCTGCAGAAGAGACACACGTGCACAGACCTGGGTGAGCTGCGCAGTTACCTTGGCTTGCAGATCACCCGGGACAGAGCACGCCGCACCATCACACTGACTCAGTCACACATGGTGCAGCATGTCCTTCAGCGCTTCGGCTTCACCTGGTCCTCGCCACAGCACACTCCTCTGGCTACAGGTCACTCGCTCTCAGCTCCACCTTCGGACGAGTCCGTAGAGCCGAGTGGTCCTTACCCAGAGCTAGTGGGCTGCCTCATGTACCTGATGACCTGCACTCGTCCTGACCTTGCGTACCCTCTTGGCCTTCTGGCTCGCTACGTGGCTCCTGGTAGGCACCGAAAGGTGCACATGGATGCTGCAAAGAGGGTACTGCGCTACTTGTGCAGTACATCGGGCATGGGGCTCGTGCTTGGAGGACGGGGCGACGTTGTCCTCACTGGGCACTCGGACGCTTCTTGGGTTGACGACCTGGCTACGCAGCGGTCGTCACAGGGTTACACCTTCAGCCTTGGCTCTGGCTCTGTTTCTTGGCGGTCTACACGCTCGTCCTCTGTTCTCGGCTCCAGTTGTGAGGCTGAGATCTACGCCACAGCCATGGCTGCACAGGAGCTCCGCTGGCTCACCTACCTGCTGACCGACCAGGGAGAGCGGCCTCGTTCTCCTCCAGTGCTGTACGTCGACAACAAGGCCGCCATTGCCTTGTGTCAGGAGCACAGACTGGAGCACAGAACGAAGCACATCGCTCTGCGTTACTTCCTTGCTCGAGAGTTGCAGCAGCGTGGTCAGCTTCGTCTTGCTCACGTGGCCACTCGGGCCAACACTGTTGATATATTCACCAAGGCACTTCCGTCTGGTGATCATCAGCGTTTTTGTACTTTGTTAGGCCTTGTGCCCACGTTTCCTCAGTTGCTGTAGACTTTGCTTGTACCGTGATCTATATATACCTGCATGCTTGCTTTGCTAGGTAGAGATCACTGTGCTGTTGTTGTTGCATATATACCTCTGCATGTGAACTGGCCTTGTGGCCCTTTGGTTGTGCTCAGTGTGTGTGGTGACGTTGTGATCCACCCTGAGCTTGCTTTGCTTCTCTTGACTGGTCTTGTGACCCCTTGTTCTTCCCCGCTTTGCCTATGGGGGTGTGTCAAAGTATATGCATGTTATATATGTGTAGGCTGTAGTGGGGTAGCCAATATGGGGTACAGCCCCTTTTAGGGTTTCATACTTGTACCCAACTCTTCCATAGTTGATCCATTCCTGTCTCTAGATTCTAACACCCGTCGCTCTCGCTCTCTCCCATCCCTTCCCGTCGCTCTCGCTCACGTTCCTCCCTCCCCTCGCCATCGCGCTCACGTTCCTCCCTCCCCTCGCCATCGCGCTCACGTTCCTCCCTCCCCTCGCCATCGCGCTCACGTTCCTCCCTCCCCTCGCCATCGCGATCACGTTCCTCCCTCCCCTTGCCATCGCGCTCACGTTCCTCCCTCCCCTCGCCATCGCGCTCACGTTCCTCCCTCCCCTCGCCATCGCGCTCACGTTCCTCCCTCCCCTCGCCATCGCGCTCACGTTCCTCCCTCCCTTCGCCATCGCGCTCTCGTTCCTCCCTCCCCTCGCCATCGCGCTCACGTTCCTCCCTCCCCTCGCCATCGCGCTCACGTTCCTCCCTCCCCTCGCCATCGCGCTCACGTTCCTCCCTCCCCTCGCCATCGCGCTCACGTTCCTCCCTCCCCTCGCCATCGCGCTCACGTTCCTCCCTCCCCTACCATTCGCGATCGCACATTCTCGTCCCGTCCCGTACCGTTCCTCCTCTCTCCCCTTCCCATCCCGTCGTTCTCGCTCTCTCCCCTTCCCATCCCGTCGTTCCGTCTCTCTCCCCTCGCGTCCCGTCGTTCCGCCTCTCTCCCCTTCCTATGCCGTCGTTTTGCCTCTCTCCCCTCCTATCCCATCGTTCTGTCAGAATGTTATTATCTAGCCTGTAGTGGGGTGCTCTATAGCGAGTACAACCCTGTTAGGGTTTGCTATATGTATCCCAACTACTGCTAGTGAAACCCCTCCTTTCTTCACATTCCTCGTTCTTTCACATGCTATCAGAGCAGGTCGACCCTCCTGGGTCGTTCCTGTGTATGGGCCCACCACTTCACTGCTTCCGCTGCCACTGCTAGTCTGTGTGTTGCACGCCCCGTGGCGTGCGACGGATTTTTCTTCCCGCCGCGCGCTCGGAGCGTGCGGCGGTTTTCTGCCCGCCGTCCGCCCCGAGGCGCGCGGCGGTTTTCTGCCCGCCGTGCGCCCCGGGGCGTGCGGCGGTTCTCTGCCCGCCGTGCGCCCCGAGGCGCGCAGCGGCTTTCTGCCCCGTCGGTCCGCGCGTCGCCCCCGGGGGGCGCTTCGATGGGCGACGGGGACCAGCCCGTCGTCCCCGGTCGCCCGTCCCGGCCAGCGCGGGCTGCGCTAGCCCCGAGCGCGGCCCGTACGGGCTGCGCCCGGCCCGCGCGCGGCCCGTACGGGCTGCGCCAGGTCCGCGCGCGGCCCGTACGGGCAGCGCCAGGCCCGCGCGCGGCTCGGGCCGCCTGCGCGCGGTTCGTCTGGCTGTGCCAGGCCCATGGGCGGCCCGTTCTTCTCTGCCCCTGAGCTGCCCGCTGTCCCCCGTGCTTCTGACGGCGCCCCACCCCTGCTGCTGCCCGTTCTCCTGAATTAGGGTTTGGGGGTGGGGGGTATGGGGGTGCAGTTTCTGTGCGCCGTCCCCTGCTCCTCCTCCTCCTCCGTCTCCCAGTGCTGCAGCTGCCGCTGAGGGGAGTGGATGTGTTGTGTTGGAGCCGTCGGAGTGGTACGAGGGGGTGACATGGGAGTGGAGTTAGGGGTGAAGCAGTTAGGGTGTGTGTCAAGGGTGTGGGTCAGTTGGAGGAGGTTGTGTGGAGGTAGCTGTCGTGTCGCCTGCAGCGCCTGTAGTCCGTCGCCCTTGCTTCGGTAGCCAGTGAGCCTGTTGCATCAGTCGCCAGTGGGTCCGTTGCTCCTGCCGCTCGTCTTAGGCGCGGAGCCAGTCACTCCAGTAGTCCGTCGCCCTTGCTTCGGTAGCCACTGAGTCAGCCGCTCCTGTGCCCGTGCCTCTGCAGCTTCAGTCGTTGCCTCCCATCTTCTCTCCTTCCACAGTTCCTCCTCCTCCTCACTTGCCCGCTGTGATTACCTCTAGCTTTGCTTATTATTGTGAACTCCTGCTCATTGTGCTGATTACACCCCACTTTGGCTATGGGGGTGTGTCAGAATGTTATTATCTAGCCTGTAGTGGGGTGCTCTATAGCGAGTACAACCCTGTTAGGGTTTGCTATATGTATCCCAACTACTGCTAGTGAAACCCCTCCTTTCTTCACATTCCTCGTTCTTTCACACGTTCCTCGCCGTGTTCATCAATTTTTTTTCCGTTCGTTCTTTTTTTCTCAACTCCCTGTTCTATCGCCTCGACTACAAGTCCAAGGAAACACTTTTTCCGCATCTCTGCTAGCTTGTCGGACAACCTTTATGGTGTTTCACTGTCATCTCATGCATATGCCCTTGAATGAGGATTTTGCCAGTATTGTTGCTTGATGTGAAGTTTGACGACTCCTTGTCTAAATACATAGCATTGCAAACTTGCGCCAAATTCGCACAGGCAAGTGAGTGAAAGTCGCCGCCAATCAGAATTGTAGAAAAGTTCCAAATGTTCCCCTTCACATCGAGACTCGACTGGGGGTGAAAAAACAAAACTTATAGCACTTCAACCTCTCAAAACGTTTTAAAAAAACTTGATCCTTCAAGTGGATCCAACTAGAAGGGGGGGGGGTCACTATTTTAGCTACGGGATTTAAGGGCACTGGATCCTGGGCTTTCTGGGGGAAGTTTGGAATGTTACTTGCAGTGAAACACATGTTGCAGCTTGATGCTAACAAGTTTTAGTTTCACAATGTACCGCTTTGGCTGGATTGCGTGAGGAAACCTTTTAGGTTGAGAAAATGCATGTTTGAAGTGTAAATCACTCTGGATCATTGTACATGTTTTAGAGCGTATTCCTCATGTACCGGTATGGCATCCATACGGTAGGCCCATGTGCTCTCATAGATTTTACCACATTGGTATATATTCAAAGCACACCTGTGATAATCATTGGGACCATACGGTGTAAGTGAAGCACGATGCCACCATAAGGGAGTAAACATGATAACCCCATTCAATAAAAACAAATTGTTCACATAACATGTCGGAATGAAGAAACAAAAAGAGAAAAACACAAACGGCAGTTAATAAATCAATAATGAGCGCTAAAACAGGAGGTGATATACCGTAGGGGCCACGCGCCCTAACAGTACCGTACTTAAAGGCCCATCGACCGATACCATGTTACCACTCATTTCGTTACACCGTGGGCTCAACAACCCCTACTCAATCATCCGCCACTTCTCCGACAGCGAATGGGTGAGCTTGGACGCGCCGCTCGTTGCCTCCGACCAGTCACTCCTCCCAAACGTGTCCCGACTGATGCTCTCGCCACGTGGAGTTCCCACCATGCGAAGGCTGGGCTTTGCAAGGGAGGAATGGTTGGCATCGTCACTGCAATAGCGCGAGAGGAGGTTCTGCAGGCGGCGGGCAACATCCTTCATGTTGGGGCGGCGCGAGGCGGGCATCTTGAGGCAGTCCAGTGCGATGTCTGCCAGCTCCACCACCGCCTCGTCCGGCGCCTCCAACCCCGCATCCTTCAGCTCCCCCAACTCGTACACCTGCACCTTGCGCGCCGCCTGGGAGAAGGGAGGTTATGAAGAGGAAAAGAGATACAAAAGGGTGATGTAAGGGCCAGCTCATAAACACGTACCTTGCACTTTGACAAGCGAGAGGTTGCACAAGAATGTCAGAAGCCCAGCCACTAGACCACTTACTTTTTTAGTAAGCGGGTCAATGCACCCGTAACCCCACAGTCTCTGCACCTGTAACACTTCCCTAGAATCAATTGGCCATTCCAAGTGCTGGTCTTCCAACTTTCCCTCTTACAGGGATGCCATAGGACACGACACAGCGGCAACGCCAACATATGCACACATGTGGACTCGAATCTAGATTTTCACTCTGATACCATGTCAGAATCCCAGTCACTAGACCATTGGGATAAAATCTTGTTAAGTAACGAGTCAGTGCTCCATTACCCTCCAGACTCTGCACCTGTAACCGTTTCCTATGATCAATCGGGCATCCCAAGTTCTGGTCTTCTAACAACGATAGCATGGCAAATGGATAATTTCAAAGTCGACTTAAATAACACAGCAAGAAAGAGGGGAAGGCGACAAAAAACTAACGAAGGGAGGCGGATGGACTAAGGAAGGCATGCAGGTCATGCAGGGCATTGGAGCAGGCAAAGAAGTGGTAGTGCAGGTCATGCATGCCCGTGACTCAATCAACCATGCTTCTTTCCCTGCTCAACCTAGGAACCCATGCAAGTCACCAGGTGTGCTCCCACCAGGTGTGCTCTCCACAACAGGTGCACCTTAAAGTGCACGCACACATTCCACCATGCATGCACTCACCAAATCACTAATGTGGCTGCACTCACCCAGTCACTGATGTGGCTGCCGGTGCCCTCCACGGCTGCCTTCTGCCTCGTCAGCAGCTCCAGCAGCACCACGCCAAAGCTGCTCCAACGATTCTGGTTGGATGGGTTGTGGGGAGAACAGGGAAGGGAAGGCGCACGAAAATTTATGAGTGCTCGATGCTGGGAAGGAGAAGGCCTCCACAGGGATGAGATGACGATTCTCAAACAAGGAGATGCAGATGCCTGCTGACAGGAACGAGTCTGACTTGCAAAACTGCTTATTTGGTATTCACATATCGCACCGTACGAGGGGCATATCAAGGGTACGGCACCTGTAGACATCACTCTTCTCGGAGACGACTTGGGTGCGGTTGTAGTCGGGGTCGAGGTAGCCCGGGGTGCCGGCCACTCGAGTGCGGTCGTCGCCGCCCTCTGCATGGCTGAGCATCTTGAGCAGCCCAAAGTCGGCGATCTTGGCCTGGTTGTGCTCGCCCATTAGGATGTTGCCGGGCTTGAGGTCGCGGTGCACGATGGGCGTCGCAAAGCTGTGCAGATACGCCACTCCCTCCGCTGCCCCCACCGCCAGCTGCAGCCGCTGCTTCAGGGTCAGGGGCGCTGGTGGGGGAGAGAAGGAGAGAAGGGGAAATGGAGAGGGAAAAAAAATAAATTAAGAAAAGCCGGAAAGAGGAACAAAGCCAATATTGGAGAAACCGCTTGGCCAAGCTGCAGTTCAGACAAAAACAAATGGACGAAGCCTGGGGGGCGTATACTTGGAGTGGTGGATCTGGTACTTGAGGTCCCCATTGGGATGCAGAATTTGAGAAATCTCACTTAATACGTTTCGCATAATATTGAGGAGCACAATCAGGGGCCCATTAACTTGGATTCGTGGATGCTGTGCACCAAGTATGCCCCAATGGGTAGCCCATCATCTTTAGTTTTATAGGTTGAGGGTTCAATTCCCAACACTGCACATTCTCCTCTCATATTTTGCTCACCATGACATGTCCAGTGAAGTGTGATCACAATTGGCATTGCCAGCTGACCACTCATCCCATGCTCACCTTGCTGGCCCGTATGGTGTGCCATGCTGCCATGCGGGCTGTTGTTCCAGCCTGGCCCACATGTGCAACATGAGGCTCCACTTGCTAGCTTAGCTAGGTGGCTAGCCTTGCCCTCAGCTTTGAGGTGCTGCAGCTAGACTCAAGAGTTCAGCCATCTTCCTGCTAAGGACGTTTTCTTCTTCCCATTGTGCCCTGAAGTTCTCAATTCATTTTGTACACTCGTGGATGTGGTACTTGAGGTTAGGGATTCGAGACGAACCGAACAGGATATTTTTTTTGGCTAAAAATGTTCGGGGCGAACGTGTTCAGTGTTCGCCCGAACACGTTCGGTGTTCGCCCCGCTACTGCTGCCGAGCCGTGTCGAACACGAACGTGTTCGTGTTGGTTTCGGGGCAAAAACGAACACGAATGTGTTCGGCGCGACTGTCCCGCGATCTACCATTTACGTTGCCGGACATTCTGTTTGAGGTCAAATTTGAGCTCAAACTTAGTCGCGCTATTCAGCAGCAGCCATTACTACCACGCCCCCCACACATCACGCCGTTATCACCTCATTAGGTCTTAGCGTAATTAAGTAGTTACCTTAGGTTAGTCTGTCTAGACTTGGGTATGCGAGATTTAGGTTTCCGGGAAAAGATTAGACAGGGATACCGCAGAATCTCGTAAGTTGAGGGTTGGGGGTAAGCATTCGCAAATTTCGTATGCATGGGATTGAGAGGAATAACGTTCGCATATTTCATGAGTTTGGGGGTTGTGGGGGGTTGGCGAGCAATCACAAATATCGTAGATATAGAAGGGGGAGAGCATTTCGTCTTACATGGGGGGAAATCTAGGTGGCGAGCTGGATAAAAAAAAAAACTATGGATCCGTAACTAGATCTCGCAAAATGCTGATCCAGCCTAGATATTTTCCCCCAGTTTCCCGCAATTCCCCTGCCTGCCGTTGCGTATTTCGAGCGTAACAAAGGATGCCCAGGGGCGAACACGAACGTGTTCGCCCCCAACACGTTCGTGTTCGCCCCCAACACGTTCGTGTTCGCCTTAGCATGCAAGATGTTCGCCCGAACACCCTTTTTTGTAGAAGGTGTTCGGCGAACCGAACACTGTTTGGTTCGCCAAACGGCAGTGTTCGAGCTAGGGCGAACGCGAACACGTTCGTGTTCGCCCCTTGCTCATCCCTACTTGAGGTCGCCGTGGGAGAGTGCTTGAAATGGGAGCTTACTCTTGGAATCGTGGATGTGGTACTTGAGGTCCCCGTTGGGCTCACTTGAATTTCTTCTTTACAAAGCTTACTCTTGGAGTCATGGATGTGGAACTTGAGGTCGCTGTTGGTCCCCGTGGGAGAGTGCTTGAAATGGGAGCTTACTCTTGGAGTCGTGGATGTGGTACTTGAGATTTCCGTTGGGCTCACAAGAACCTCTTCTTCACAAGGCTTACTCTTGGAGTCGTGGATGTGGTACTTGAGGTCCCCGTTGGGCACGAACTCGTAGACGAGGATCTGCTCCTGCTGGCCGCTCTCCACGTTCTGATGCAGGCAGAAGCCCAACAGGCGCACCACGTGCTCATGCCGCAGTGACGCCATCGCCCTCACCTGAGGGGGGTTCATCCAAGGGGAATTGGTTGAGAAGAAAAAGGGGGCTAGAGGGACGTCTCATGCCGCAGCGACGCCATCGCCCGCACCTGACGCACGGGGGGATAGAGGGGTGCCAAAGGAGAAGAAAAGAGGGAGTTGAAAGGTACGTTCTCATGCAGAAGAAAAGGGGTTAAGGGATCGTTCTCATGCCGCAGCGACGCCACGCCCGCACCTGAGGGGGGTTCATCCAGCGGGAATTGGGGGGTTCAAAAGACGTTCCCACCTGCCAGTGGCAAGGGTTCAAGGAGTGTTAGTCCAGAAAAATAGGGGGATCAAGGGAACGGTCTCACGCTGAAACAATAAGAGAATGGGGAGAGAGCAAGCAGGCTGATGGGAACATGATGAAGGGGAGCGACCAGGTACAAGGGACTCTTCGCCCCACCTCTTACAAGTTTCTTTCCCCTCAACTTATTGTGAGAGATTTTCCTCTCAAAGGACTATTCAACACACCTCGTTCTGGAAGTCGTTGGACATGAGAGCGATGCGCTTGACAGCCCAGAGCTCGCCCTTGGAGGAGACGCCCTTGTAGACGGTGGCAAAGCCGCCCTTCCCCAACACATTGCTGCTCGCCCAGTTGTCTGTCGCCCGCAGAATCTCCCCCATGCTGAACTCGTGACACACGTCCAGGTCGCTCCACCGCCCTGCCATGCCCACATGCATGCCAGCACGCTCATCAGCACGAAACACCCGAAGTGGCAAACAGTGAGCGCGCTGCAAACAAGCAAGCATGATGCAGACAAACAAGTGCACAGATTGCTCCTACAACTGCAGTAGAGTCTGAATCTTGGAAAGAGGGGAAAAGGGGTAGGGCCTCACTGCGTTGGCGGGGCCAGAGCAACGTGACAACGAGAGCGAGGAGGAGAGCAAAGGCAGCAGCAGAGCCCACAGCGATGCCCACCACTGCGCCCGTGGAGAGCGCTGGAGAGGTGGGAGAGCGGATGGGGAGGGAGGACAGAGAGGATGGAGAATATAAAGTCGGCTGCACATATGCGTGCGTCCGTGCATGCCCTTCAATTGCAAATATGCATGTATGCCTTAACCTTGACCTATTATCCAACATCACCCCTGAGCTTCGAGGGCGTAAAAGCAATCAGGGATCTATAATTATTCAAGGTAGGAAACTTCCTCAGACAGCACGCTCCCACGCACGCACGCTCGTGGCATGCACGGACGCACGCACCCACGCACTCACGCACTCACACACTCACCCATGCACGTACACACGCACACAGACGCACACAGACACACGCATGCACACTTACACACACACATTAAAAAAAAAAAAACGGCCCATCACAGAGCATACATGCAGCAGGGGGCGGAGCAGGGCGGGCGCAGGTGGAGCCGAGGGTGCCGTTGGTGGGGACGAAGCCGTCGTCGCACTCACACGTGAAGCGCGCCTCTGCCGCCCCCGCCTGCGGCGGCACACACGCTCCGTGCCTGTCGCACGGCCCCAGCTCCCGCGACAAGCTGCAGAATGCCAGGCACTCGTCATTGCTGCACTGCGTCTCATTCGCCGTGCACTCCATCTGCTTGTTTAATGTGAAACAATTACCGCGCAGACTCGCCTCACCGTGCTTGTCTGCTGTTTGAGCTATGTCCGTTAAGTAGCCTTGCATGAAACGGAGTGCACAGCGACTTTTCCCAGGAAAACCCAGTTCAGATAAGTCCAAGAGATGAGACTGGGTGACATTGGAGGGGCAGAACTGGCAGCCATCGGCGTAGAGCATGGGGTCGCCGTAGAAGAAGTTGCCTGCGATGTTGAGCAGAGCGCCGTTGTCAGGAATCATGCTGCGGAAGTTGCTGTTTATGGGGCCGTAGAAGCTGTTGTTGCTGATGTCGCTGGAGGGAGTGGAAAGTGGTGGAAATGGCAACAACATTAGAGTGAGCATTGGGTGTCATTTAGTGTCCAGTGTCATCCAGTGGCAAGTTTTTTGTCATCCTGTGTTGTTCATTCTTCCTAAGCTTGCTGTCGCATGACCATCTGTGTAAGTTGCAATTACAAGAAGGGTGCATGGGTTGACAACACTGCTCAATGCAACTCACATTCGGTGCAGACAGTTTTCAAAGAGGCAGGACGGAAACTTTCCATACAAGTAGTTGTTGTGGAGAAACCTGAAAGCCACGCACATAGGTGTTTTAAAATGAGCCATATCAACAAGTACACAACACACAACTTGTATAACAGGTTGGAGGATGACCAAACACATTTGGAGCTGCTCTTGTTATGTTGAATGAGTGCGGGTACGTACATGTGATGTTGAACAAAGGGCAAGACCTATGACGATGTAAGCATGTACACAAACAATCCGTTTTTTTTATTCTCTAGAGTTGCGAGTGTGTGAGTGAGTGAGTGAGTGAGTGAGTGAGCGAGTGAGTGAGTGAGTGAGTGCGTTCGTGCGTGCGTGTGTGTGTGCGTGTGTGTGTGTGTCTGTCTGTTTGTGAGAGTGTGTGTGATTTTGTTTGTTGTTCTTTCCTTTTTAGAAGCGTAGTGCACACATGAAGGATGAATGAAGGAACTGAAAACAGGTGGATTGCCTGAAGTGAAGCAGAATATAAGTGGCAGATTGTGGCTTGGACAGAAGGCAAGGAAAAGCTTGGTTGGAAGGCAGCATTACATGGTCTGCAAGTTGGTGAGGTTGCAAACGGAGAAAGGGAGCTTTCCAGTGAGCTGGTTACCAAACACAGACCTGCCAACACCATGCAGACGTAGATGAGGCGAGTACGAGCGCGAGTGAGCAGAAAACAGAAATAAAAGTAGCTGCACATGGATATGCTTGGTTGTATTGGACGCAGTTCGATTAGGTTTTCATAGCCGTGTGGCTTCAAAGACAACTTGAAGAGCAAGCATTTGAAAGAAGAAATGGGAGTGCATGATTGATATGTTAGTTCAACATTGATCCATGGTCAAGCAAATGAGTGCATGATCACTCTACAGAGTATGGAGGTTGGATAGAGCGCCAAGGGCAGAGGGCAACGATCCTGAGATGTTGTTTGAAGCAAGGTCGCTAGTGGGGTGGTGGGGATGCATGGAAGACACATGAGAGAGTGTCACAGGGGCACAGCAACACAAATGAAGAATATGGTACCACAGAAGTTGGCTCTCAGATGGATCCACATACACATGGCAAGCAAAGCCGCATGATGTTACAACTTACAATGGTTTGGAACTGAGGTGAGAACAGAGCGGCGTGAAAGTACTAAGAAATGGCAAAGAAATGGGAGCAAAGCAGCACTCTAATACATGGCCTCAAGGTTGGTCAAGGCTAGCAGAGATGTAGGCAAGCTTCCAGAGAGCTGATTGTTGCGCAGTGACCTGCAAGGATTGTGGGAATCGGATTATGGAGACGGCACAAGTAAGTGGGGTTGAGCAAAGTACTGAACTGCAAAAACCTTCTCTTATAAAAAGGTCCCACTGGAACCTGTAGATTTTGGGTCAAACCGTTTGGTCTGGTTGGACCATGGGTCTTGAGCCGCGTCAAACCAAAATTCTACTAAGAATTGCAAATTTCCCTCCTAGTCGAACCAAACCGCTGCCGGTTCAACTTGTGCCGTAGAAGGTTCCAGTACAAGGGTAGAACCCAAACCTAAGCCCCACCCATTACGGTTCAACCAGAACCGGAGAGGTTTGGTTTGTTTAAGAGGCATGTTCGACCCGGTTCGAAGCGAACTGGGCCAAGATCGGTACTTGCTCAACCCTACAAGCAAGCAAGTAGCAAACTATTATAATCTGCTTCACACGTCCGCTGCAGCGGCTGCTACATTTCCACTTTAAGAGTAGAAATGGGACTGGCATACCATCTGTCTCAACGCTGACCCCTAGTGTAATGAGGCATCACAGAACTTGTGAACCTGCATATGCATATCTCTTCTCCTTTGCCAGTCAGAAGTCCCAAGCTATGAAGGAGCCCCTGTGTATCTCGAATCCACAGCAGAGCAAAACACTCGCGAATGAATTGACTCAAGGATGCACGTGGCTGGAGTACCGTGTAGCATCTTCAGAGAACAAACAAAGCACCATGCATACCAACCATGGGAGTCCAGCCTGTGGACATGTGATAGTGCTTGCAACAACCATGGGAGCACTAGCCAAGGAACGCACACATGGCAGACACAGAGGTGAGAGCGCTGATGGACTCTGGAATCGACCCTGTGAAGTTGTTGTCTTCTAGCATCCTGCTCGCACATGGGGCCAAAACCAACAACACCCGAAAGAGATATAGGACTTCATGAAAGAAGCTAAATGTGGAACGTTGTAAGGGAACATAATGCACGTTGACGTCGCGTGTTCGAGACAGAAGAAATCACATTGCGGTTTGGAGCTGTAACAGTAAAATCCACTTTTCGTTTGCAACGCTCTTCAGGTTAATGCTAATGCAGCTTTTGGTCTGTCATTCCCTTGCTTACATGATGACCAACTGTGCCTTCCAAAGGGAAAAGTCAGGAAGAGAGCCTGAAAGCTTATTGCCTTCAAGGTTCCTGCGAGTCAATGAGTGGGTCAGCCAAAAAAACAAGAATAAGCAGACACAAATGTTGTCAATCAACGAACCAATGCGATGAACAAAGAAGCTCAGTGTGCACACACGCATGCCAGGTGCTATTGAACGGGTGCTTGACTACTCTTACAGAACGTTGAGGAAAGTATTTGAGAAGACTGGCAAGGTTCCACTCAGCTGGTTGTGATCCAAGGTTCTGGTTGGTGCACAATGTGCCGAGCAAGAGACACCAGTCAATTGAGAGAATGTTATTTTAGTGAGTGATTGAGAGCGTTTTCTGTGCACCATGCGGGCACGTGTGCCAAATCATGTGCATGTTACCTAGCGAGAATGAAATAACTACTCAAAACAATGGCACTGCAAAAACCTCATAAATGGTGACGCGATCTGCCACACCACCAATATTGAGGGAGGGAGCAATGGTGGGAATGAACAGGCAAGGGGAAGAAGATGTGAACAAGAACTGAACCCGAACCGGTTTGACTCGAACTAAGTCGGACCAGTAGATTAGTCTAACTGAACTTGTTCAATTCGAGTCGAACCAAAACTGGGGAAGGTGGGGTTTGAGGTCCGCTTCATGTGGTTGCAGTTTTCCAGTTCAGGTCGAACGGCATGCAGTTTTGACCGGACTTGTTTAAATTCGGCACGACAACAGCATTTGCTGTGAAGAATGAGGAATGAATGAACTAGCAATCAGGTGAGTACAAGTAGGAAAACCTAGAAATACTGTACCCCATATAGTCTACCCCACTACAGCCTACACAGACTATAGCATATAAGTTTGACACACCCCCATAGGCAAAGTGGGGGAGAACAAGAGGTCACAAGACCAGACAAGCAAAGCAAAGCAAGCTCAGGGTGGATCACAACGTCACCACACAATCTGAGCACAAGAGCAAGGCCAAAAGGCCAGTTCACATGCAAGATCATATATAAAGGTAAACAGGCAAGTGCAGGTATAGAAAGATCACAGTACAAGCAAGGTCAAGAAGTGAGCAAGTGAGGCCAAGTAGGCACAAGACCTAGCATCGTACAGAAGCGCTGATGATCACCAGGCGGAAGTGCCTTGGTAAAGATATCAGCAGTGTTGGCCTCAGAGGCCACGTAAGCAAGGCGCAGCTGACCACGCTGCTGCAGCTCACGAGCAAGGAAGTAGCGAAGAGCAATGTGCTTCGTTCTGTGCTCCAGTCTGTGCTCCCGACACAAGGCCAGCATGGCCTTGTTGTCTACGTACAGAACTGGAGGAGAACAAGGCGGCTCTCCTAGGTCAGTCAGCAGGTAGGTGAGCCAGCGTAGCTCCTGTGCAGCCATGGCCCCCGCGTAGATCTCAGCCTCACAGCTGGAGCCGAGAACAGAAGACGAGCGGGTATACCGCCACGAAACAGAGCCGGAGCCAAGGCTGAAGGTGTAACCCTGTGACGACCGCTGCGTAGCCTGGTGGTCAGCCCAAGAAGCGTCTGCGTGACCTGTGAGAACCACTCGACGTCGCCCTCCAAGCACTAGCCCCATGCCCGACGTACTGCACAAGTAGCGCAACACCCTCTTCGCTGCAGCCAGGTGCTCTGGTCGGTGTCTCCCAGGAGCAACATAGCGTGCCAAGATGCTAAGAGGGTATGCAAGGTCAGGTCGTGTGCAGGTCATCAGGTACATGAGGCAGCCAACAAGCTCTGGGTACGGGCCACTCGACTCTACGGACTCATCCGAAGGCAGAGCTGAGAGCGAGTGGCGAGTAGACAGAGGAGTGGCCTGAGGCGAGGAGTACGTGAAGTCGAAGCGCTGAAGGACCTGCTGCACCATGTGTGACTGAGTCAGGGTAATGGTGCACTGTGCTCTGTCCCGGGTGATCTGCAAGCCAAGGTAGCTGCGCAGTTCACCCAGGTCTGTGCACGTGTGTCTCTTCTGCAGCTCGGACTTCACGTGGGCGAGTCCAGCAGTGTCAGCAGTGGCAAAGACCAAGTCGTCGACGAACACGAGGATGTAGAACGGCGGCAAAGAGGTGTCGGTGCGCAGAAACAGCGACGGGTCGGCTGTAGAAGGAGCAAACCCAAGAGCCGCAAGTGTAGTCCTCAGTGTGTCGTGCCACTCACGAGGCGCCTGGCGGAGACCGTAGACTGGCCGCCGGAGGCTCCACTGGGTACCAGGAGGAAACGACCCGGTGAAGCCAGGTGGGCGGCGCAGCGAGATCTCCTCGTGCAGGCTGCCCTGCAGGAAAGCTGTGCTGAAGTCAAGAGAGTGAAGCTCGTAGTCACGCTGAGCGGCTATGTGCAGCAGCACCCGAAGAGTGGTCATCTTCGGGGTGGGAGAGAAGGTCTGAAAGTAGTCAACTCCCTGCCGCTGACTGAAGCCTCGAGCCACGTAACGCGCCTTGAAGACAGGCGGAGAACCCGGCGGCCGCT